GGTTCCGTAGACTCACAATCCTAGGAGGTTAAAAACAAAACAAAACAAAAATACACAAGAATTGAAAGATAGTTAATCAGGATAAGCAAGATCAAGCAAGATAGTTAATCAGGATAAAAAGTGTGTGTGTGTGTGTGTGTGTGTGTGTGTGTGTGTGTGTGTGTGTGTGTGTTGTGGCACAGGGCCAGAGACACAAAGTCAGACAGAGAGAAAGAGAGTTCCCACTTACTGGTTCATTTTAAGACGTCCACACAGCTAAGGACGAGCCATACCAAAGATAAGCCAGGAACTTAACCCAGGACTCTGACAGGTGTGCCAGAGTTCCAGCTCCCGGAGCCATCACTCCTGCCACCCAGGGCCTGCACTGGCAGAATCCTACAGTCAGGAGCAGACCTGCAGCCCAAACCCAGACACCCTGCGGTGGGTTGTACGCATGACAAGCAGTGTCATAACTAATGGCCCGATGCCTAATCCAACGTCAAGAAAATCGTGGCAAAGACAATCCAAGCTCAAGTGGGGGAAACAGGACAGTTGTATCAGCCACTTAAAGCTTTGTTTCTGAAGTGCCCAAAGCATCCTAATGTCCGGGCTGAGAAATGTGGTAGGGCACAGAGGAGGCTAAGGACGCAGAGCAAGGTAACAGAACACTAATTAGGAGCAGACCAGAGGCCCCCTGCTCAGAGGGGCCCTTGCACCAGCAGCATCAACCCCCCGGGAGGAGTGAAATAACCTCACCCCACTGCCCTGAGCCAGAATCTACATTTGATAAGTCCCCAAATGATGGATTTGCAATTAAAGTCTGAGCAGCAACTGGGCTCCAGCATGCCCGAGCTGGGCATCTGGTTGAACTCTAGGGATGTTTCCGCTAATGTGACTTCGGTATTGCTGATGGCATTAAAACAAAAACCATTAACTCGGCCGCTTTCCATTCTGAAACGCCAGAAGTTCTTGGCAGAGGACAGGAACGTTCCTTCTGGGGACTCGTGCCTGATCATTTCGAGAATGGTTCTGCGACTGGAGAGAGCCCTGGCCGGGAGCCAGCGCAGCCACACTCCAGTTCTTCACCGCTCTGGTTGTGGCAAGGCTACTTGTTTTCTGAAACCTGGGAGGTTTTGTGTGGAGGTTCGTGTCTGGCTTCCTGCCTCACGTGTCAGCAGTCTGGGCTCAAGGCAGACAGCCACAGCTGGCTGACAGCTCCTTTCTCAGTCTCGGTTTCTTGATTCCACCTGTCCTTCTCCATTCCGTCAACCAGAGGAACCGATCTCACTAGCTGATTCCACAGAGGGTTCACCCACTGCCCAGCAGCTAGGATGCACTCTACTAGAGACTGCTGGGACAACTATTAGAAGTATGATCAACTGAATTCCCATTATTATCATCCATCATTAATATCATAACCTTCTTGTGCTCCTCTGGGAGACAGTTCTGGGAAGGCAAATGACACAAGAAAAACAGAATAGCATCTTTAATTACCACAAAGTAACAAATTAAAACGTTTTCGACCATGGACAGACAAGGTAGAAAAGAAGAAATGTGAAGCTGCTAAGAGGCATATAAAATAGAGAAAACAGAGAGACAGCAAGCCGTGTCCCCCAGGTACTGTGCAGCACCTGGGGACGAGCAAATCCCATCAGCACAGGGGCCGAGAGCTCTGGGAGGAAGCCTTCTTGGCTTGCACCATGTCGGCTTCACGCTGACCAGGCTCACTCTCTCTCTATGACCTACAGCGCCTCGGTCAACAGCACCAGCCCAGCCAAGGTTTCCGTTGATCTGTCGCCACACAATTGACTGCCTGCCATCCACCCACTTTGGTGATGAAGCAGCTTCTACCTGCAGAAACACCGTTGCCAGTGAATTTTCAGAAAGGCATTTATCGCTGACCAAAACTGAAAAAGAATCCATGAACTCATTCCTTGAATGCGTTCATCTATCCAATCGATATTGACTGACTGCCTGTTATAAACCTGCCTTGACGCTGGGGCCCTGGGTCCAGAAAAATGCTGACACAGGTCGGTGCACGGGAGCTCCTACGCCAACGTGTCAGACGTGTGGCTGTGGACTAGGAATAGAAATTTCAGCATTAAGGAATCTTGGATCAATGAGAATCGGGTTTTTGGATGCCCGTCCTTGCTCTGGTCACTTGCTTAGACCCTCGAGCACTGCGGGAGGTATGCCTTGGGTCGATGATACCTGCTCTACTGAGCATGCTCTGAGTTCTCAAGTCACGGGAGTTTTGTTTCTTTCCCCACCTAGAATCTTACTTGAAATACAGCATCCCCCCCATCCCATGTGTTTCAAACCAGAAAGGACAAGTATGTGGAGTCACCCATGGTGACAACAAACCAGGATGTCATTACACAGAACTGCTGCAACTGGCCAACGGTTCTCCAACTCAGGATGCTGGAGAGGACGCACCCTGTTTGATTTAACTGTCTATTCCAACATTTTCCCTGCGTGCATACTCGGCCAACTAAAAGCTTCTTATTTTTAATCTTGCATATATCAACTCCTACAAGAACTCAAAGATCAGTATTTGTTACTGTGTAAACACACCAAAATTTCAGAGATAAGACTCTCCGGCTACAATTTTCTGCTGCTTTGAATCAATATAATTTATTCTGATTATTCCTACTAAACCTTTATTTTTCTCAGGGACCCTGCCCTGTCTCCTTCCAGAGATGACCAGTAGGTGGCGCTGACCCCAGCCCTCAGCTGCTTGGCTAAGGAACCAGGAGCTGCTAAGGAATAGGCCATTTATCCCACTAATCTTCAGAATTAAAGCTTACACAAGCTTGGTGTTGGCAGGAGCCAACTTTCCAAACACGAGGAATCTTTCTGAGAATACAGTCAACCTGGAGAGACTTTCAGCATCTAGCCTACTGGGTTCTCAGAAAGCAGATGCTTAACAAAGTTGGGGATAAAAATGTTCAATCAAAAGAATCAACAGGAAGAGAGGAAAGGTGCAAAGTGGGATCTGGAAGAGAAAGAAGCAGACTTGTGACACAGTCCAACAAAGACTTAATCACTGCGGCAGGGAGCTCTGGATGAAATCCTGAGTACCAGAACTGCCCAGTGCTGGGCAAGAAATGGTTGCCCCTTCCCTCTGTGTGGTTACTAGATGTCACAGGGTATGTTTACAAACCAAAGGCGACACAGAGAGAGATGTCGAGCAGACCACGTGCCAACCCCATACCCACATGAAGCATCAATTTCAACCCTGTGTCTGTCTCCCTGAGAATCACACGGCTCTTCTGAAAACCACCTGCTCATCCCCGCCACCTGAGCCTGTAAATCTCCTCTGGAACTTCATCAGCACAAATAAAATGAATTATTACTAAAATTAAAAAGATTCGAGCGAAATGCACTCTACTGGAGTGTGTGTGTGTGTGTGTGTGTGTGTGTGTGTGTGTGTGTGTGTGTGTTAACAGCATTAAAGCACAGTGGATTCCATTTGTGACACCTGCATTCCACGTTGGGGTGCCAGTTTGAGTTCCAGCTGCCTCATTTCTGATCCAGCTTCCTGCTAACGTGCTCGGGAAAGCACTGCAGAATGGCCCAAGTGCCAAGTGCCAAGTGCGTGGGGCCCTGCCATCCGTCTGGGAGACCAGGTTGGAGTTCCTGGCTTCTGGTTTCAGCTTGGCCCTAACCTGGATGATCTGGCCTTTTGGGAAGTGGATCAGACAGATTTCTCTTTGTTACTTTGCCTTTCAAATACGTAAATGGATGAATCATAAATAAATTACAAAGTCCAATTTCAAACCACATTGACCAACATGATGCCAGTCATATCTACGAGTAAGCCACATCTTCAGATAGCTTACCTATTTCACAGTGACAGGTGATGGAAACAGGAAATATACGTTACATAAGGTTGAGTTGTTTTTTTTTTTTTAATTGAAACTGAGAAATGACTGGGGGAAGGGGACTTTGTCTTATATGTCACTGAACAAAGAAAGCCCGGAATACTTCCCTTTGATGAAGCTTTATTTATCATGGTGGGAAATAAACTCTTTAAGCTCCAGACTGATCAGAAAGATCTTCTGTCACTCATTTATCTCTCAGCGATTCTCATCTCCTCTATAGCAAAATCTGTGTGCTTCTCAGAGAAGTGTGATTTCTATATTAATAATGCCCTTTTTGTTCCCAAAAGTGACTAAGTTACAACGGTGAACATGAGAAGCAAATCAAGCCAGCACTTCAACCTCATACTGGGGAGCTAATTAAACTATTTTCCTAAGTTGTTCAAGTTCATTTTTACTGTATCTGTTTTCTTAAGCTGCCGAATTTCCTGCAACCCATTTCAGTTTATACCAGTGTATTTCAGGCCAATATATTTCAGTTGATCCCCATGCAACAACCCATCTGCAATTCTAATGTCCTGGTGAAGATAAGGTGCTGCTAAACACACAGTGTCTCAAAAATACTGGCAGACGGCAAACAGCTCTTGGAAAAATAGAAGCAAAAGGTAAGCTTATCCTGGCTTAACCTGATATCCCAAATTTTTGAAACCCATGCACAACTTTTTTCTAACATGCACTTTGTATGACCTTTTCCGAAGACACCATATATATATATATATATATATATATATTTGATATTTACAAGGAGGTCCAACCGCACATATTAGTGTGTGAGAGAGAGAGAAAGAGAGAGCAGAGTATACAGACCTCAATCTGTGCCAGTGTCAAAACCTAAACAACAAAAGATAATGATATCACGACAGAGCATTGTTCAGTGTCATTAGATGATCAAAATGAATTTCTGACTTCTTTTGCCTTTAAAATCCTCCTTGTCCGAACCTGTAAATTATTCTCATTGACTTCTCTGGATGACCTCATTTTGTAAAGTTGCTTTATATTCCAACGCAGATGACACACTCCAACGCTCAGGTTTGCAAGTTCCAAGGAGGCAGATTACAAAAACAGTACCAGGCCGAACGCTGCAGGCCTTACCCTGAAACTTCCCCACAGATACGAAAAGCATAAACACGCAGTCCTTACCTCCCGAGTGTGGCGGGGGTCCACAGAGCAGGACAACGCCCTGGCCTTCACGCACTGACACCGTGCTCCTCAACTTGGTTTTAAAATTTTCAAGATCTGATGTGGAGACAAAACAAAAGTGGATTTCAGAGAGGATCATTAAAGTCACACGTTACCCAAAGAAATGTCTTTCTTTTGGAAAGCTGTTTGGAAATCTCTAGATGTTTTTATTAAGACTTTTAGAAGTCCAGTAATACAATACAGACACACACCTATCCCGGTGTGGAAAGCTGCCAGGAGACTCTCCACAGCAGCAAAACCCAAGTGTCAGAACTAAGCAAGCAATATGGTCCAAAGGGTGAAAAGAAACATTCTGAATCCAACATAACTGCGAAAAATATGGCGCCCACACGTGTCACAGTGATTCATCATAGCACGCAAACTTCGGTCATCATCTTGCAATGACGGCCAACTAGGTCTGAATTTCTCCACATAGCCTAAGCGTATTTCCTTCTGTCTGGAATCAATGTTTACAAACAGACTCGAAAACTCTCAGGTCCTGGATGTAAGCTGAGAATTTGTACCACATCCTGCCAGGCTCCTGTAGAAGACAGAGATCATTGCAGGTACCAAGTGGGATTTGATGGATAACAGTCAATCAAGGCCTGTCCATGCCTTTTTAATGTGCTGCTTTAAAAACAAAAATGACCCTGAGTGGCATCTAACATTCTTCACGTGATTAGTAATCTAGGGAAAACGGTGTTTTGATACAAGCAGCTATTGTTAGGAAACATTTAATTTCTTCCAACAACACTCCAAGACAGCAAAGAGTTACTCTTATTTTCTAGCATTGGATGACAGTACGCAGAAAATCCTACTGGTATCGTGAAAAAAACTCTACCAGGAGAAAAGGAAGATCTGCCAGTTTTCTAAACTCTGCCTTAAAAGAATGCCTGTGAATTACAGCGTTAGTAGACTCCATGGTGTTGCTTTCTGTACCAGAACAATTGCATTGTCAATATGTGAAAGATATATTCACTTCATAGCTCTTAAGGGTTGCAATAAATTGCGTAAGTAGTGACCGCAGAAAGTGAGGCAGTGTTCGTGTTTTAGGATATAACTTGGAAGATTTCAACATTTTTTTTTGGAAAAATCAAAATAGCCAATAATTGTTTGCAAATTCATGAAACTACAAAGTGTAGGCACTTATGATTATTCTAAGCACCTTAAGTCAGTAGTTGAAGGAAGTAAGACAGCCAATGTGCTTTATTTTATTGTCCCTTTAAAATAGTATTAAATTGCTGGGTTTTAAGTACAGAATAAAATACTTCGGCAAAATTCACATACCCACTGTGCCCAGAAAACAAAACAGAGCTATATACATATTTTAAGCAGAGGTAGCATACAGAAAAGATATCACATTGCACTTGTTACTGTCTTAATCTGCTACTAAAATGCAATATTCTCAAAACAAGGAGGTTCTCAAAGTGTGGCTCAATTAGAACTGGAAAACCAGACCATCCAAAATGTTTCCCAAGGGCTCAATGAGAAAGCACATCATGTAAGACTGTAACCTACTCATGGAAAAAGAACATCCAAATACAACTTTCTTCTTTTTTTCAAAACCAACTATATATCATCTTGATCGTTTTGTTACCCAAGCACAGATCCACTGACTGGTCCGGACTTGCGCTCTGTCTTTCTTGGAAGTGCCTAGAGGGCAAGGGGCATGGTTTTCCAGACTTGATGGAGCCTGCTCATGGAACACAGGCATGTGGGAGAGTCAAGAGAAGCAAGGGCGATGGCTCCCATGGAGCGCACAGGGCTACACGCACAGCAGAACACGGGGACCCATTCAGGCTGGAGCGCACAGGGCTACACGCACAGCAGAACACGGGGACCCATTCAGGCTGGAGCGCACAGGGCTACACGCACAGCAGAACACGGGGACCCATTCAGGCTGGAGCGCACAGTGCTATGCGCACAGCAGAACACGGGGACCCATTCAGGCTGGAGCGCACAGGGCTATGCGCACAGCACAACACTGGGGCCACGGCCGCCTTTTTGTTTTGTTTTTCCTATAAAACACTAGCATTCTGAATTGTTAGTTTAAGTTACTTGAAGGGTAGTCCAAGAATTGCTTGTCTAACCATCATTCGGGATTTGAAAAAAGCTGAAGCCAGAAGCTGGGAGCCTCTTCTGGATCTTCCACATGGGCGCACAGGCACAAGCGCTTGAACCATGTTCTGCTGCTTTTGCTGGCACATTAACAGGGAGCTGGAGTAGGAATGGAACAGCTGGTGCTCCTACGGGATGCACTGTGAGCACAGCTTTGCCAGCCACCCTGCAGCCCACGCGCCTCACCAGAACCTAACCACAGCAAGGCCCATGATGCAGTTTGCCGTTTAGATGTATAGAGTTCAATTCTGATTATGCATCCCATTACTCCTCGAAATATTTGGAATTTACAAAATGCCCCGGAGATAGTCCATGAGACAACCACACACACAGCACAAGAGAAGCCAGTCGCTTTTTCAACCATTAACCAAGAGCTTATAAAACACCAGCCCACTCAGTCCTAGGTTTTGAATGTGTGAAGGTCTGCTTTCAACATGGATAGAAGGGAGACAGGAACTGCGTTCTAAATGACACGTGCTGCATTTTAAACGGCAGGAAGCGCACCGAGGCATGAATACTAAACTGAAAGGCGTGAAAGATGCCTTGCAAACTACAGGTTGACCAGCTGGATGGTGGTGCGCTTTGCAGGTAAAGTGGTGGGGAGATTTTTTTTTCCCCATTGTTTTCATTTTTTACTTTTTGAGATGACTAAATGAAGGGATCAAGGTGCAAAAAGTAAGAAAAATAAAAAGAATAGGAAACAAATGAACACACGCCCAGCCCTTGGCCCCGTGGTCCAGCAGGGATACAGGCAAGAGCAGTAAACAGCGACCAAATGAAAAGAGGCCAGTTCCACCAAAAAACCATAAATTTAAAAACAATCACGAGGCATACAGACCTTAGTAGTATTATACCCTTCTTAACAATCTGACGAAGATATAACGCACTGTTTTGGAAAAGTCATATTTACAGCAAGACTGGTATGTATGCATGTCTTTTTTGTTCTTGTTTTATGATGATTTTCCCTTTAGCTCTCACACATAAGCAAGACTAAAGTATTTGTCTTTCTTTTTTAAAGACTTATTTCATTTGTATAGAGGGATCCAATTCCATGGGTTTCACAGTGATATTTCGCATGCCACACTGCCTCCTGCCTGCGTTCCTCACCACCCTCATCCTTCCTTTGGCCAGAGGCGGCGGCATAGGCAGAGAACAGGTGTATCAGACCACACAGACCACAGTCAAGGTAAGCCACTGCGTTTACACCTTATGTTGGAACAGTTACTTACTATAAAAGAAATACATATTACACATGTCTAAAAAGATTCCCAATTACTATAATACCTGAGAGATTACCTAAGTATCTCAGATACAAGTGATGTTTTACGTTGCATGTGGTTCAATTTCGGCAAGATTTATACTGATGACAGCTCTGTTTGAAAAGGAAAGTAAATTCCAAGCCCAGTAGAGGCTGAATGGAAACTTTTCTATTTCTCTTGCAGTCCTTTCTAATTCTTCTTTGTACTAGCGTCCCTAATTAGCCAGTCTTTAAAATAAGCCAACATAATTAACAATGTCAGTGAAACACCATAGCTAACACTAGATTTAGCGGTAAATGGATGAGCATTCTTTTAGCATTAGCATGTCCATCTCATCATTTTCTTCAACGTATAAGTTCCAGTGACTACAATAATTAATTAAAAAGGGAATAAAAATATACTTATTAGAAATAGAAAATCAAAAGGAATCTGGCAAAAAGAAAAAACTCTCTTAGCAATAAGTGAGCTAAGTAGGTTACAGGTTATAAAATCTATGTACTAAAAACAAACACTTAAAATAAAACTTCAAAATCAATTGTACTTATTTCAAAGATGGAATATCTTTATTGTACAATACAAAACATGTTAATAACCTTCATACTAAAAAATATAAGGTGTCTATTAAAGGCAAATGGAGAGATCACAGAGGCCCACATAAATGGGAAGACATTATGTTCATGGATGATTCAACTCAACACAGCTGCCAATTCTTCCTAAATGCACATTCAAGTTTAATGCAATTCCTATCCGAATATTTTAGTTGACTTCTCACTTTGTAGATACAACCATGGCTCGAGAAAAGCTAAGATAATCTTGACTAAGAATAACGTGGAAGAATCACTTTGTGAACGTCAACCTAACCTCACTCATCTATATAAAGGGACTGAAATTGGGTCATGAGCCCAAATAGGAAACATACACTCTGGAAACAAATACTAGAGAACATTTCTGGGGATCTCAAACCCGGTAAACCGCTTTTAGACTTGGCACCAACACAGTACAGGCCACAACAAAGAAGGATTGGTAAACGAGGCCTCTTTAAAACTGAAAACTCTTGCTCTACGAAAGCCCCCCAACTCCAAAAAAAAAAAAAAATTGCATGCCATGTCTGGAAGAATATTTGTAATGGAAGAGTAGCTAAAACAACATGACTTCTCAAAATTCAATAGTAAAGGGTCAGGTGGTCAGGTGGTCAGGTGGGTGAGCAGCTAACATATCCTGTATCAGAATACCTGGGTTGGAGTTCTGGCTCCACTCACCACCCTGCTTCCTGTCCATCCGTCCCCTGAGAGGCAGTGATGGCTAGGTCCTGGCATTCATGCCAGACCCTCGATTGAGTTTCCAGCTCCAGGCTTTGGTTGACCCAGCCTTGGCTGCTGTGGGCATTTGGGGAATGCAAAATCACCTGAGATTCTGTCCTCAAATTAAAAATAAAAATGATAATAATAATATATACTAATCTCAGTAATAATAAAAATATTTAATAAGAAAATGTTGCAAAAGACATAATGGGACATTTCAAAGAAAGTCTACAGAGCTGGCAAATAAGCATATAAAAGATGTTCAATACCATCAGCCATCAGGGAAACTGAGTCAGCACTGCTTGCCCGTCAACACGGCTCAAATAAAGAGCCCTGAAGCAGACGTGCAGAGTCTGGGAACACACTGCTTGTGAGAGTG